GCTATAATAAACATAAGATGGATAGGTACAGAGGTCGAGCGATCGAGGAAGAAGACAGCAACAATAAGCGAGATGATGATGACCAGAAGCATGACAGGGATAGATACAGACAGAGAGGTGAAACGGTTAAGGAGGATGATGAAGACTACAAGCGTGGCAGGGACAGGTACAGAGGCGATAAGGAAGGCAGGTTTAGAGGTGATGATACTGAAAATAGACGTGTGACAGGTAAGGAAGACAAAGATGATGAAAGAGTTAGCAGAGAGCGCGAGTACTCGAACAAGGGTCGAAGTCATTACGATAGCCGGTCGAGCGGAAAGAGATCCTCATATGGTGTTAGAGATTGATGATTATGTTTCCATATGTGTCTTAAGTTTCTCAAATATTTGTGTTTTTATGGGTTTGTCACAAACATAAATCCTTGTTTTTTTTGTTTGCTAACGATCTATGCATGAGACATTAATTAAGGTTATTACATAGAAGCGAAATGATAGGAAATGCGAAACGGATTTTTTCTTTAAAAAAAAGAAACGAAAACATTTTGGAAACGAAACAAAATATATATTATATAACAAAAATTATCAATAGTTTTAAAATATTTGAAATAACACAAATTTAATTCGATTTGAATAAAAAAACATTTCGTTTATGTATACGACTTCACAATTTCAATAATTAATAACAAATCTACTGTAATTAAAAAAACATATCTTGCTTATCTCTCCGACACTTCTACCTTTTTAGGTTACGGTAACGATTAGAGAAAAAAAATGTATTAAAATTTAATAATTAGGTTTTAAAACATATTAAAAATAACAAACAACACCCTATATTTTCAAAGTATTTATTCAATTTGCTTTCAAAATCAAAAGTGTTTCCGGTTGCGTTTCTAAATTGGGATATTTAAAAAACACGTTTCTGTTTCCGAAACGGGAAACATACATTGGGCAGAGTTTCATGCAACTTAGATTACATGTTGGTCAAAGAATTGGTCACATTAATGCATAATCTAAATTAAGCATATGTGTGTGTTTGGTATGAAATCTCATGTATGGATATATTGTTTACAAGAAGGTATAAAATCTAAACAAGAATTGGAATAAAATCTTAGGTTAATTGATGATTACCATTTTTTCGGGACATGTGTTTATATAATCTGAAATCAGAGAGCGCGGGACGAGAGAAGAAGAATTA